AAGATTTTATCAGTATTAAAAATTAAAAAAAAAAATTTAACAATAAATTTTTTTTTTTTCAATTTTTAAAACTTATACAATGTTCAAAGGCTCACATCAAAATTTATAAGCGATTTATTATAGGCGATTTAAAGAAGTTATTATTATTATTATTATTATTATTATTATTATTATTAATCAATGATATTATAATAACAGTAATACCAATAACTAATACTGTGTGTGTGTGTGTGTGTATGTATAAGCATTTCTTTTTCAAACAACACATTAAGATGAGATTTTTTTTTCCTTTTTTTAAAGAATGAACAAAAAAAAAGCAAAAAAAAAAAAGAATTTATAAACTTTTTTTCTATAGATTAAATTAGTCACCATAGTAAAGTTAATGGCACTAATTTCAATAAGGTAACATATAAATGTGATAAATATTTGTCCGTGTAACTTTGATAGCTTTTTTTCTCTTTTTTTTTTCATTTTTTTTCTTTTTTTTTTTTTGATAAAATGTGCTAAAAAGAAAGAAAACAAAGTAATAAATAAACAAGCGAGAAAAGGAAAAAAAAGCAAAATAAAATCAAAAATATGCTTATCTGTGTTTAATGGTTTGTTGACAGAAGAAAAAAAAAAAAAAGGTAAATAAAGTTTGTTGATGGTGGTGGTTGTAAACGCTGATAACACTGAGTGAAATTTGTTGATGCCAATAAAACTATCCATAAAACAACAACAGTACCTCAACTTTTTCACCTTTTTTTTTTTTTTTCAAAAACAGAGTCTGCAAAACCCTAATGAAGCATTCTGTTACTGAATAATTTATTGCTTTTGTTTTTTTTTTTTTTTCAACACTTTTTATTAGAGTTTCCAGTTGTATGTATCGGTGTTTAAGCCTGTATATTTTTTTGGATCTTTGAAACTTTTAGAAAACAAAAATAAGTAAAACAAAAAAAGAAAAAAAAGAAAAGAAAGAATTGAAGGAGAAAAAGGCAGAAGAAAGATGGATAAATGAGAAGAAGATAAAAAAAAAAAAAAAGGTGGAAAAAGAATGATGGATTTGTTTTGAATTACAAATGAGAAGAAAAACTGAGTCATCACCAATGTTATATATACCCGCAGCTTTATGGCTATGCTGCTGCTATTTTTTTTTTTCTTCTGGTCTATTAAGGTCAAAAATAATTATGTTGAAAAAACATCAATGACTGACTGACTGACTGACTGAATGAATGAATGAATGAATGAATGAATGAATAAATAAATGAATGAATAAATGAATGAATGAATGAATGAATGCTGCCAATCAATGAACATTATAAAAACATCCGTGTAACATTGGTTTTTCGCTTTTTTTTTTTTTTGGTTAGAATTTCGGAGAGGATAAAGAGGAGAAAGGTTTCTTTTCCTTCTTTTTCTTTTTTTTTTTAAATGTTATTGAAAAATTCAGCAAAAATAAATCTCTGTTTAAAATTTGAAATTTTGACCAAGCGAATTAGGAGCAAAAACACATTTCTTTTATGTCGGAGTTGAATCTAAATTGCATTTTGTTACATTCGGTTTCCCCCCTTCCCCGCTTTCTTCCCCCCCCCCCCCCCCATCCCCCGCCCTCCCAAATTAATAAGTTGACCAAGTTTTTTTTTTTTGCTACATTTGTCAACGAAGATGGAAGAAATTGAAATGAATATTGTGAAAAAGAAAGAAATTCAATGAATAACATGTTTTTTTTTTTTTTTTTTGACAAGGGATTCAAGCTACAGAGAAGTTGCTGTTCAAAACTTTATAATTTCGTTGTTTTCTGTTTTTTTTGATGTATTTGTTGTCGATCTGTTGCTGTGATCTGTCATATAGGCTTAACATACTGCTTCAATAAACCGAGTAACAGCAGTCAAAAAATTTTTTATCTTTATCCAAAATCAGCATTTATTGCTTTACGGTATTGGCTGTTTTAGTAGAGCTTCAAATTTGTTTTAAAACAGAAGAAGATGGTTTTTTTTTGCTTTTGTTTTTGCCTTTTCTTTAACTTCTTAGCTTTTTTGATCTTTTAGATCTTTTCTTTTGTTTTTGCTAATTTTTAGTTCTTTTTTTGTTTTTTTTTTCTTTTTTGTTGTTTTCAATGTCCTTCTTCCTCTTCTTCTTCCCTCTGTTGCATAGATTAATTAACCAACAACTAACTTAGTTGCTTGTTCTTTTTTTTTTTCCCATTTCGTTGCTGTTGTATTGTTTCGCTTGATATTTTTTATGTTTTTTTTTTTTAATTTTTCAACTAAAGGTGAAAAAACTTTTTTTCTTTTGTTGTATTTATGTGTATTTGTATGCCGTATAAAATCGTTGCCATGCTTTTGGAAGAGTACCGTTTGGTTAACATTGACACAGTTGCCGGTAATCACCGACATCTTCACCGGGCATAATCGCCGTCGATTGGCCGTTTGGCTGTCAGGGCCGTTGCCACCCGCTATCGCCCATAATCACCATCATCAACGGCTGTAACAACAACCTCATCATCGTCATCGTCACCGTCACCGTCGTCGTCGTCGTCGTCGTCGTCGTCATCATCATCATCATCGTCGCCAACATCGTAATCGCGGCGGTGGCCGTCATGGTCGTGGTCATTATTGTCATTGCCTGTATTAAAAGAATACCATTTTTAAATTGGAACAGCACCATTGTCAGCAGTTGCAATTACCATTAAAATGGTCAATATAGACAAATAGAAACAAAATTACACATTATATTTCTTCGGAATAATGACAACCACAACAAAAACAACAAAAGAAAATCCTCAAAAAGAAAAAATGAGCAAAAAAAAAAAAAAA